GGATCTCCAAGTTATGCATGTTGGGAAATCCCAACCTTCTCCCGGTTCTTTCCCTCTTCTTATTACCTCTCCCTTTCATTTCTCTCTTTTTTATTTTTTTTATTTTCATTCATTTTTTTACTATTATTTTTTTATATCTTCACGGCCCAAAATTTCCCAATTTTTCCCAACTTTTTTCCAAGTCGAAAAAGCAGGGGGGAAGGCTTCTCCCTATCCCCCCATGGCGACGGCCCTGACTGAAATGTAATAAAAGGCAAGCTGAAAAGTTCACCCCGAAAAGTTACTAAAGCGTAATATAAACATTGAAGAGTCCAATCAGTCAGTAACTTTTCGTATTCATATATTTTGCCTGCAAATTGAAAAAAATCAATTGAATATAATTTAATATTTATACTTAGCTTTCTTCAGTGGTCGTTGTTTCGGAAAACAATCTTTTTCCGTTCTCAAAACCTGAAATTCACTTTCTTTCGCCTCAAATAGCTTCAATTCTTTTCATATACGTCGAAAGAATGAAATGTCCAGATGTCATATTACCATTATACATTTTTGTAGTGTTCTTCACTCGCGTCGAGATTGAAAACAGGATTGAAAAGGGCAAATAAGTATAATTACGAGTTAAAATCGTAATAATTAAGCTGGGAAGTATGAAAAATCTTGAGGCGAATAGAGCACTTTGAAGTGTTTCTTCTTTGAGCAGCCTTACAGCCTTATCTGCAGCTGTTATCAACCGGGAAGAAAAACTCCTCTTTATTAAAATCTAAGGCTCAAAAATTCAGTTTTTCATAAAGAATTCATTATATAGTTCTTGTGCACATTTTCACATATTGTATGCTTCTACATTGTTGTTCACCAGATGAAATTTACCTTACAACATAATTCTTGCGTAGCTTTTACAAAATGAGAGAGGCGTTTGGAAAGTAGAACTAAGTAATTTTTTCAACAATCTTTTGATGAATAAGTTCGAATAACAAAGTTTCAGTAACTAAATATTAGTTAGTACATAAGTATCCAATGCCTTGCCATAGCTTGCAGTAGTTCAGTAGGTAAATAGAAATATCGCAACGATTACAGATATACAGCAGCTCATACATTGGACCTCTATACTGAAGTTGCCACAATATGCAGGCCGCCGATACACGAAACTGGAACATCTTTTACGAAAACACACACTCCAACAACGGGTTACATGGTGTCAGTATACAAAGTGTTCGAGGGAGACGATCGAGAAAAGTTGGAGAAGAATTGGTTGTATTGGACAGGTATATGAGTAAAATAAATATTTTTTGTAGTGTGAGTTACTCAGATGAAAGCATAAGTGATCATATACATCACCCAATAACTCCATGTCATACAGATTAGTTGAAAAGATTAAAAATGTTTGAATTTGTGTCAGTCCGTATTAGAAAACGCGTGAGAGCTTATTGGATTTGTAATGACATCTAGAAAAATATATATAGTTATGTCACAACGTTTCGATTTTTAGTATCCACAATCATCTTCGGGTGATAACTGGACTTATTCCTTCCAGATCTGACTATTTATAGGTCATTGGAGTGCTTTCACCTATCCCCTCTTTCCCCTTTCCGCTTCATTGGTTTTGTCGGGAGATGACCGTTTGGCGCATTTGGCGCATTTAGTCAAGCTAGCGTAGAGATACATAACATATGGAAACCTCTAATCAAGCGAAAAACGACCAACTCCCGCCATTATTTCCCTCTCCATGTGGCGATTAGCCACTGGTTATTGATCCCTTCGCAGTATCGGAGTTGCGAAGCAAGATACCACCTAAAACAAATTTTTTGAAGAGCCCTAGTGGTTTCTGAAAACTTTGCTAATCTGGGTCAGGAAAAATTGAATCCTTGATGATGAAAGAAACTACCTAGTACCCAACGCTACCTGGTCAGAATTCTCAAATTTTTACTGCATAGAGAGCAGCAAATTCGAGATTAATTTGTCAAACTCCGGAAAACGGAGATTGGTCGATTCCAAAGTTATAACATAACGGTAATATGTTTGAATTGGTGTTAGTTGTTCACCAGCATATATATATATACGCTCTTCACAGTTAACTCAGTATTTCAACGGATTTGTGAGCGAAGGGGGTCAAAGAGAGCAAGGGCAGGCTGCAAGAAAAACATACTCTCCCATAGATTATAAAGCGGGACTCGCTGCAGTTCAAGCGTAACAACTCTTTGCTCAAAAATACTAGTGGATACAAGCTAGTTAGCTGTGGGTCGTCTTGGAAATAAAAGTGAAATGATATTCGTCGGGGTGAGACGAGTAGTCCAAAAAAAAATAGTGGAAACGGATGAAATATTGGAATTTTCTCTTCCCTGGTTCTTTTGATTGTTCTGATCATTTAAAGCCTAGATGGAATGATACCCTCTCCAGTCTCAATCCTCAAGATCATACAGGTTTAACGCATCGGCCGATATTTTGCCCGAATACATAAAGAAGGCTGTCGTCATCCTTGGCTTGTAGCTTTTATTTATGGCACATTTTCTCAGTCCGAAGCTGTGGAGAGTGGTCATTGGTTAATAATACTTTCATCTTTTCAAGTTGAGGTATGAGGTAGGTCTAACGGCCAAGAAAATTTGGGCCAATCAGATATATTCAATCGGACAATTCCGAATATTGGTCAACGACTATGAAAGCCACACATCATTTCATTTTACCGTAATGAATTTACCGTAACAAACAAATGTTTCTATTTTTTACAGGTGCGAGAATGATTTATCTATATTTGCCTCGGGCAGCTGGCTTGAGAAGAATATCTCTTCATAAATCTCTTAGTCCAAAAGGAGATAAAATGTATATTTTACTATGTGAATGTGCAAATTTATTGACAGACGTGACAGTGTGTGCTTTAATTTTACCGGCGTTAAGAGCGAGATTGACGGGTTATACAGGTATTTTCAGGCCTCTACAAACATTTTGAACTGTGAACAAATTTTGTGAACGGAACTGAAGTCCGAGCTGCAATAAATCTACTTTGGTGGATAATATAACCTTTCAAAACTTGAAAATTCGATTGTATTCAGGTTATGGTGATAAAAACATTTGAGAGATTCTTCTTTTTAGATTATGTCTAGCAAATATAATTTGAAGGTTATGTCTTGAATTTATAAATAAAACATCCTTCAGTAACATGGCCAACATAAGGAATTACTGAGATTTTCGATGAAATGAGCGGGAGTGGAACAACATTGAGTGAAAAAGTATGAAAACAGTTGTCTTTTGAAACAGTCGTTCCTATTTTTAACAATGTATATTTTTATATTATTGCAGAAAATAATGAAATATTGAGTGTAGCAAACTGAGTGTAATAAATTGAAAGTCAAATTTAGAAACTTCAAAGTCAAAGCCTATTATGACAAGAATTATTCTCCAATTTTTAGAAAAATTATACAACTTATGATACAACATTGAAAAGGTAAAATCTGGTTCTATTTAAAACAGAAAGAATCCAATGTAGCGCCCATAAGAAAAATTAGGGTTGATGATGGTGGCCGTATGACGAAACGTTGGATAGCAAGTCTGAAAACACCATTATGTAGCAGGGAAAAAGTGGCAATGTGGAAATGCAATTTATTTTCGAATCTTTCGAAAAATGAAGCCAGAAAGAAATGAAAACCATTTCCCGAAATTTCTGTTTTTTCCGGATATCTCCGTATATACTTGGAATTTCAGAAATTTCTCAACGGCATATTGTTAGTCAGGTAAATGCACACCTTTGCCCCAATTTAACCATTTTCGTATCTCTCATAGTTTCCGAAATCCCAATGGTGAGGATCAAATATATCTTGCAAATAAAATGAAAATAAACATAGGAAACCGGTACATAATAATTGAAGAAAAAGACATATTTGCTTAATTTATTGAACTCAAATTTTGGTAAAATTCATATGAATGCATTCGTTCTAGTTATGTTTATTTTATACAAGTAAATTTACTTGAGAAATGTATTTTTCATCCAAATATATTGAACATATTGAGTTTAATCTTTCATTGTGTATTCATTTTTATCCTTTCCATTATAGTGTAGTAATATCACATTCTAGAAGTTGATTTTTACCAAAGAACAACGAGGAATAACAACAATGTTCTAAAATTGATGAGGATGTGGAAAATAGTCAACTAGAAAATTTTCCTTACTTTCTGAACACCATAAGAACCAACATGGGTTGAGATAACACCTGAACAAGTTTTTTTTCATTTCGAGAGGTCAGAGGCGGCGTAAGGCGGTGTGGGCCACCGCCCACGGCCTCGCGGTGCAAAGGGCCTCGCGCCTCAAAGCCGATATTTGGTCATTCGGTAGGCTTGCTTATCATGAATATAACTAACCATTCTCAGTTCTGTTTGAAAAAAACAAATCCGGATTGGTAGGCCGTGAAGTGTTAAACGTTGCATCTGATACTGCGGCAGATATCATTAGTGGCATGTGCGTTGACTGCCACTGTTGACGTCTGCCACTGTAGCAAAAGAAATGTTTAGTATTTCAGGTGCTATTCGACCACGGCCTACCACTTCGGATTTGGTTTTCTTCAATCATGACTCCGGTCGTAGCAGCCATCATCATTATTTCAAATTTGATTATCACTTTATATAGTTCTTATAACTGAACATATGAACTGATCGTGTAAAGCTTACACGTATCATACGAGTGCAAATATTGGCAAATAATTACAAAATACTTATTGCATTGCAAAATGTTTTGTTAGAGGGAATATTCATATCAATGACTTCTACTTAATTTTTATCGTTGAAGAAATAAAATTTGGTGCATTCTTTCTAATTTATCAATCATGTCAGGCTTAGGCACTGAAAGAGATAGAGATAAAGCAAGAAAATGGAAATCTGTGTCAGCAAAAAAAGAAAATTTTTGTTTCTTTAACTAAAGTGAGTAAATCAATTCAGTGACTTTGACTGGGGTTTTAGTACGGCGACCCAGACATTATTTTTTATCGCTTTTAAGTCGATTTTTTTTATTTTCAATTTTGTTTAATGTTCCAAAAAAGTACACGAGTAGAAGTTTTGGTGTTCCTTGATGTTCCTTGATTTTTTAATTTATAAATTCTTCTTGGGCAATGTACCTTGCCCACATTAAATTTAGATCTTGCGCCGCCACTGCGAGAGGCTGTAAAATTTGGTCATTCGGTAGGCTTGCTTATCATGAATATAACTAACCATTCTCAGTTCTGTTTGAAAAAAACAAATCCGGATTGGTAGGCCGTGAAGTACTAAACGTTGCATCTGCTACTGCGGCAGATATCATTAGTGGCATGTGCGTTGACTGCCACTNATAGAAAGTAGTTGTTTTGAAAGTACTTTTTCTTTCGTGTAATTCAATTTTCATGTGAAAGTAGTAGTTTCGGGAGGACTTTTCTTCCAGTACGTATCTGAAACTAACTTCTATGCATATAGAACATAATTGCTTTCTTCTTTTCTTGGAAGTTTGCCAAAAAGCTTTAAATTGAAAGGGGTATTTCTTAGGAGGGAGATTCAATTTTGATGTTTTCCCCGAAGGTTCCAACTTACCTGAATATATTTCCATGTAGGTAAGTTTTTGTTAGGTTGAAATAACTAGAAAAAGGGTTAAGTTATACAATGTGACATAATAGTATTTAGTTTACTTTATTTTCCAACCTTTTATAAAGAGTTCACCAATGGAAATCATTCGAAATACAAATATCATTCTCCTAAATTGTTCATTACAAAACTTAATATCATTTGAGTAAATAATCAAGGTGAGCAGAAGTGTAGTTAGGTATATCCCACATGGATATTCTCAAATTGTGTTTATTAACATTACAGAGACTGAAAAACTGATCAGCCTGGTAGATCAGGGGTTCCCAATTTTATTTGACCAAGGAATAAACAGAGGTTCAATTCGGTGGTCTCCAAAAATTCCTACCCAAACGTTTAGCATTTCTGGATGTTGAGTGTGAGCTTCTCGAAAAATATGAGGATTTGTATCGCTCCAAATTCTACAGTTATGCCGGTTAACCTCTCCAATAAGCAAAAAAGTGCAATCGTCAGAAAAGAAAACGTTGTACAAGAAATTTGGGTTATTGTTGATACGTTCTGCCATAATTTCGCAGAACTCTTGCCTTCGATCCCAAATCATCATCATTGATTTCATGAATTAATTTAATTTTGTACGGATGCAACTTGTGTCTATGTAAAATTCTGAAAACGTTAGATTGACTAATACCGGAAATTGCAGAAAGTTGTCGTACAGATTGCGTGTTTGGCATAAGTTGGACATGTCCCAATACCGCCACAGCTTTTTCCTTCATCATTCACAATTCCAATGGGTGCCCTTTTCTATCCATTACTGAACCCGTCTCCACAAATTTTGAAATCAATTCCAGTACTTACTTATGGCGAACGCTACGTTCAGGATGGTTTTGGTTGAATATCCTTGCAGCCGCTCGGGCACAATTTTGTTTTTGGTAATAAAGGCTAACCAGCTCAACACGTGCTTGCAATGAGTACACCATATTTTTTTCATTTTTTGAAATTTTAAACAAATCAGCAAAGTATTAACTCAACATATTTATTTCAATTCTGAAATGATCGAAGAAAAGTTACAACCAGATAATCACCTTCTAAGCACAAAAAAATTAAGGCAAGATAAGGAAATGTTTTGCTGTTTTTTTATTTATTAGTTTGAGAGAAAGTATTATTGTATGGAAAGTCAATGAAGGACAATTTGAACATTGGATTTAAACACGCCGATTTTATTTTTTTTTTGATTGTGAGCATGATGATAACACAGTTAAATTTTTCAACAATGTAATTTTTTGACGATTGTTTAGTTTGTAAAAAGGGCATAATAAAAATGGGCGTTGTAAAAATAACCAAATTATTCAAGGTGGCTCAATCGAGCTGCAAAAAAGATTTTTGGCGAAAACGGTTCATCAAATTTATGTTTTTCATACACCGTTGTAAAGAGGCTTCCAAGACCTTTCAAATAAAGTATCACTCAACCCCTCTCGCCTATTCAAGTTTGAGGGGTTGAAGAGCCCCCTATTAGGAGGTTCCTCTTTCAAGCCTAAAATATACGTCAAAAGATGTCCCCCAAACAAAATTATTCGACGTTTTTCCACTCATTATGGGATAAGAAATATACGGGGTGGCTCGTCTGAGATGGAACACCTTGTATAATTAATGAAAATTGATCATTGTAATGAACGAAATTGTTGAACACATTTTTTATAATAGTGCTAAAATTAGGTTGTATGTTCGACAATTGGATGCGAAAATCCTAAGCTGCATCCAGTCTGTTTCTGTATTTGCAATATGTATTTGTATGTTGTGGAATTGGCCGCGGTGGTAGTGCGCCCGACGATCGAAAGACCGTGGCTTCGATTTTGACCAGATATTTTTCTGGAGAGAATTTATTTGGTTGAAGCTGGAATGATTCTGCAACCGTGTTAAATCACACGTTAAAAGGTAAGACCTCATTAGTCATTAGCTCGCACACGTTTCTCAACTTCCGAGAGTTGTCGTACGTATGGGGCGACAGCTGATTAACGGAAAAACAGATTTTTTTTAAACAGATTTATTTTTTGTGTAAGCGTAAGCTGAAATTCAGTCTCGTATCGGTAAGTCATCACAAATGGAAGCAGAACTAAGATAGCTTTCTCAACAATTGTAGGGTATACTCTCCGACAGAGCGCACGGAACCCCTGACCCTTCTACGGAACTCCAGCAAACGCAGGGTTTTGAGGACCATCATTTAGGAATCTAGATGGTAGATGATGATATTCCTCTCAGGAATATGCGAGAAAAGAGGTTTAACCGCCGTGAGGTGCAGAGAAAATTTTGGTGTTCAGTTGCTGAGGAAATGGGACTTGAAGATGAGCTACATATTTCATTGAATCAAAAAGATTTATTATTGCATGTTTACATGAACAAATTAGACTGAAAACAACAATCGAATGGTGATCGGATGTAAATTTAGCTCCAGTGGACGTAACTCATCCGACCACTCGTACGATACGGACTCAACGAACGGTCAACCTTATACAGAAAAAAGAAATATAAAAAGCCAACAACAGATGTCAGTATCTACTAATATGCCTAAAGCATTGTCGAAATAGTCCCAACAAATACTAAAAGTAAGTAAGGATAATGGGAATAAAACATATCAACAGTACAAAAAAAATTGAAAGTTCGAAATAGTGCACATGTTGGCAACACCGTAACTTGTCATCTTGAGACGTCATTCTCTTCTTAACGTGAACAACCATAAGTACTTCTACGAGAATATAGCATCTTCTACAGTTAACGTCTCCGTTGAATCAGAGAAAGCTTTTGTTTGGA